GAAGGTGGAGTTGTGGTGTCAGTTGTTCCTGTCGGTTCAGTTGATGTTGGAGGGATGGTTGTTGTATCTGTTGTTATGACTGTCGAGGTGACTGATGTTGAAGGTGGAGTTGTGGTGTCAGTTGTTCCTGTCGGTTCAGTTGATGTTGGAGGGATGGTTGTTGTATCTGTTGTTATGACTGTCGAGGTGACTGATGTTGAGGGTAGAGTTGTGGTGTCAGTTGTTCCTGTCGGTTCAGTTGATGTTGGAGGGGTGTTTGTGGTATCGGTTGTTTTGACTGTTGAGGTGACTGGTGTTGAAGGTGGAGTTGTGGTGTCAGTTGTTCCTGTCGGTTCAGTTGATGTTGGAGGGGTGTTTGTGGTATCGGTTGTTATTACTGTCGGGGTGACTGATGTTGAAGGTGGAGTTGTTGTATCTGTGTCAGTTGTTCCTGTCGGTTCAGTTGATGTTGGAGGGATGGTTGTGGTATCGGTTGTTATGACTGTTGAGGTGACTGATGTTGAAGGTGGAGTTGTGGTGTCAGTTGTTCCTGTCAGTTCAGTTGATGTTGGAGGGCTGGTTGTGGTATTGGTTGTTATGACTGTTGAGGTGACTGGTGTTGAAGGTGGAGTTGTGGTGTCAGTTGTTCCTGTCGGTTCAGTTGATGTTGGAGGGGTGTTTGTGGTAACAGTTGTTATTACTGTCGGAGTGACTAATGTTGAAGGTGGAGTTGTTGTATCTGTGTCAGTTGTTCCTGTCGGTTCAGTTGATGTTGGAGGGGTGTTTGTGGTATCGGTTGTTATTACTGTTGAGGTGACTGGTGTTGAAGGTGGAGTTGTGGTGTCAGTTGTTCCTGTCGGTTCAGTTGATGTTGGAGGGATGGTTGTGGTATTGGTTGTTATGACTGTCGAGGTGACTGATGTTGAGGGTAGAGTTGTGGTGTCAGTTGTTCCTGTCGGTTCAGTTGATGTTGGAGGGGTGTTTGTGGTATCGGTTGTTATTACTGTCGAGGTGACTGGTGTTGAAGGTGGAGTTGTGGTGTCAGTTGTTCCTGTCGGTTCAGTTGATGTTGGAGGGATGGTTGTGGTATCGGTTGTTATGACTGTCGAGGTGACTGATGTTGAAGGTGGAGTTGTGGTGTCAGTTGTTCCTGTTGGTTCAGTTGATGTTGGAGGGATGGTTGTGGTATCGGTTGTTATGACTGTTGAGGTGACTGGTGTTGAAGGTGGAGTTGTGGTGTCAGTTGTTCCTGTCGGTTCAGTTGATGTTGGAGGGGTGTTTGTGGTATCGGTTGTTATTACTGTCGGGGTGACTGATGTTGAAGGTGGAGTTGTTGTATCTGTGTCAGTTGTTCCTGTCGGTTCAGTTGATGTTGGAGGGATGGTTGTGGTATCGGTTGTTATGACTGTTGAGGTGACTGATGTTGAAGGTGGAGTTGTGGTGTCAGTTGTTCCTGTCAGTTCAGTTGATGTTGGAGGGGTGTTTGTGGTATCGGTTGTTATGACTGTCGAGGTGACTGATGTTGAAGGTGGAGTTGTGGTGTCAGTTGTTCCTGTCGGTTCGGTTGATGTTGGAGGGGTGTTTGTGGTAACGGTTGTTATTACTGTCGGGGTGACTGATGTTGAAGGTAGACTTGTGGTGTCAGTTGTTCCTGTCGGTTCAGTTGATGTTGGAGGGATGGTTGTGGTATTGGTTGTTATGACTGTTGAGGTGACTGATGTTGAAAGTGGAGTTGTGGTGTCAGTTGTTCCTGTCGGTTCGGTTGATGTTGGAGGGGTGTTTGTGGTAACGGTTGTTATTACTGTCGGGGTGACTGATGTTGAAGGTAGAGTTGTGGTGTCAGTTGTTCCTGTCGGTTCAGTTGATGTTGGAGGGATGGTTGTGGTATCGGTTGTTATGACTGTTGAGGTGACTGGTGTTGAAGGTGGAGTTGCTGTATCTGTGTCAGTTGTTCCTGTTGGTTCAGTTGATGTTGGAGGGATGGTTGTGGTAACGGTTGTTATTACTGTCGGGGTGACTGATGTTGAAGGTAGAGTTGTGGTGTCAGTTGTTTCTGTCGGTTCAGTTGATGTTGGAGGGATGGTTGTGGTATCGGTTGTTATGACTGTCGAGGTGACTGATGTTGAAGGTGGAGTTGTGGCGTCAGTTGTTCCTGTCGGTTCAGTTGATGTTGGAGGGATGGTTGTTGTACCGGTTGTTATGACTGTTGAGGTGACTGGTGTTGAAGGTGGAGTTGTGGTGTCAGTTGTTCCTGTCGGTTCAGTTGATGTTGGAGGACTGGTTGTGGTATCTGTTGTTATTACTGTCGGGGTGACTGATGTTGAAGGTGGAGTTGTGGTGTCAGTTGTTCCTGTCGGTTCAGTTGATGTTGGAGCGGTGTTTGTGGTATCGGTTGTTATGACTGTCGAGGTGACTGATGTTGAGGGTAGAGTTGTGGTGTCATTTGTTCCTGTCGGTTCAGTTGATGTTGGATGGATGGTTGTGGTATCGGTTGTTATGACTGTTGAGGCGACTAATGTTGAAGGTGGAGTTGTGGTGTCAGTTGTTCCTGTCGGTTCAGTTGATGTTGGAGGGATGGTTGTTGTATCTGTTGTTATGACTGTTGAGGTGACTGATGTTGAAGGTGAAATTGTGGTGTCAGTTGTTCCTGTCGGTTCAGTTGATGTTGGAGGGGTGTTTGTGGTAACGGTTGTTATTACTGTCGGGGTGACTGATGTTGAAAGTGGAGTTGTTGTATCTGTGTCAGTTGTTCCTGTCGGTTCAGTTGATGTTGGAGGGATGGTTGTGGTATCTGTTGTTATGACTGTTGAGGTGACTGGTGTTGAAGGTGGAGTTGTGGTGTCAGTTGTTCCTGTTGGATCAGTTGATGTTGGAGGGGTGTTTGTGGTGTCGGTTTTTATTACTGTCAGGGTGACTGATGTTGAAGGTGGAGTTGTTGTATCTGTGTCAGTTGTTACTGTCGGTTCAGTTGATGTTGGAGGGATGGTTGTGGTATCTGTTGTTATGACTGTTGAGGTGACTGATGTTGAAGGTGGAGTTGTGGTGTCAGTTGTTCCTGTCAGTTCAGTTGATGTTGGAGGGATGGTTGTGGTATTGGTTGTTATGACTGTTGAGGTGACTGGTGTTGAAGGTGGAGTTGTGGTGTCAGTTGTTCCTGTCGGTTCAGTTGATGTTGGAGGGGTGTTTGTGGTATCGGTTGTTATCACTGTCGGGGTGACTGATGTTGAAGGTGGAGTTGTTGTATCTGTGTCAGTTGTTCCTGTCGGTTCAGTTGATGTTGGAGGGATGGTTGTGGTATTGGTTGTTATGACTGTTGAGGTGACTGATGTTGAAAGTGGAGTTGTGGTGTCAGTTGTTCCTGTCGGTTCGGTTGATGTTGGAGGGGTGTTTGTGGTAACAGTTGTTATACTGTCGGGGGTGACTGATGTTGAAGGTAGAGTTGTGGTGTCAGTTGTTCCTGTCGGTTCAGTTGATGTTGGAGGGATGGTTGTGGTATTGGTTGTTATGACTGTTGAGGTGACTGATGTTGAAAGTGGAGTTGTGGTGTCAGTTGTTCCTGTCGGTTCGGTTGATGTTGGAGGGGTGTTTGTGGTAACGGTTGTTATTACTGTCGGGGTGACTGATGTTGAAGGTAGAGTTGTGGTGTCAGTTGTTCCTGTTGGTTCAGTTGATGTTGGAGGGATGGTTGTGGTATCGGTTGTTATGACTGTTGAGGTGACTGGTGTTGAAGGTGGAGTTGTGGTGTCAGTTGTTCCTGTCGGTTCAGTTGATGTTGGAGGGATGGTTGTGGTATCGGTTGTTATGACTGTTGAGGTGACTGGTGTTGAAGGTGGAGTTGTTGTATCTGTGTCAGTTGTTCCTGTCGGTTCAGTTGATGTTGGAGGGATGGTTGTGGTATTGGTTGTTATGACTGTTGAGGTGACTGATGTTGAAAGTGGAGTTGTGGTGTCAGTTGTTCCTGTCGGTTCGGTTGATGTTGGAGGGGTGTTTGTGGTAACGGTTGTTATTACTGTCGGGGTGACTGATGTTGAAGGTAGAGTTGTGGTGTCAGTTGTTCCTGTCGGTTCAGTTGATGTTGGAGGGATGGTTGTGGTATCGGTTGTTATGACTGTTGAGGTGACTGATGTTGAAAGTGGAGTTGTGGTGTCAGTTGTTCCTGTCGGTTCGACTGATGTTGGAGGGGTGTTTGTGGTAACGGTTGTTATTACTGTTGAGGTGACTGGTGTTGAAGGTGGAGTTGTGGTGTCAGTTGTTCCTGTCGGTTCAGTTGATGTTGGAGGACTGGTTGTGGTATCTGTTGTTATTACTGTCGGGGAGACTGATGTTGAAGGTGGAGTTGTGGTGTCAGTTGTTCCTGTTGGTTCAGTTGATGTTGGAGCGGTGTTTGTGGTATCGGTTGTTATTACTGTCGAGGTGACTGATGTTGAGGGTAGAGTTGTGGTGTCAGTTGTTCCTGTCGGTTCAGTTGATGTTGGAGCGGTGTTTGTGGTAACGGTTGTTATTACTGTCGGGGTGACTGATGTTGAAAGTGGAGTTGTTGTATCTGTGTCAGTTGTTCCTGTCGGTTCAGTTGATGTTGGAGGGATGGTTGTGGTATTGGTTGTTATGACTGTTGATGTGACTGGTGTTGAAGGTGGAGTTGTGGTGTCAGTTGTTCCTGTTGGATCAGTTGAAGTTGGAGCGGTGTTTGTGGTGTCGGTTGTTATGACTGTCTGGGTGACTGATGTTGAAGGTGGAGTTGTTGTATCTGTGTCAGTTGTTCCTGTCGGTTCAGTTGATGTTGGAGGGATGGTTGTGGTATCTGTTGTTATGACTGTTGAGGTGACTGATGTTGAAGGTGGAGTTGTGGTGTCAGTTGTTCCTGTCGGTTCAGTTGATGTTGGAGGGCTGGTTGTGGTATCGGTTGTTGGTACTGTGGGGGTGACTGATGTTGAAGGTGGAGTTGTGGTGTCAGTTGTTCCTGTCGGTTCAGTTGATGTTGGAGGGATGGTTGTTGTATCTGTTGTTATTACTGTCGGGGTGACTGATGTTGAAGGTATGGTTGTGGTGTCAGTTGTTGCAAGTGGCACTGTTGGAGAGGTGGTTGCTGGATGTACAGTGGTTTGCACTGCAGCATCTGTTGTCGTTGAAGCTGTAGACAATAACAGATCTGTAAGTGAATTTGCCAGTGGTGAAACTGTGCCTATAGCAGGTGATGACAGTTCAGTAGTTATTAACAATCATTCTGTACACGTGAATGGCTTATCGGTAGTAATTTTAGATGTATCTGTATTTTCTGATGATGAATCAGTAGTTATTGTTGGTGTAGCTGTAGTTTCTGATGATCGATCTTTAAGTGTTTCAGCTGTACGGGATTCTGTAATTATTGATCAATAATTAGTAGTAATTAATGATAAATGCGTTATTGAATAATCCACAGCCATTGGTGAAATAGCACTTGCTGAAGGTGTAGCTGTAGTAATAGATAAAGACCCAGTAATAATAGATGACATACCTGCAGTTATTGATGGAGTCTCTGTGGATATTGATGATGTGTCTGTAGTCACTGATGGTGTAGCTGCAGTTGTTGAAGATGGATCTGTAGATGTTTCAGCTGTAGATGTTGAATCTGTAATTATTGATGATAGATCCACACTTATTGTTGATGATGACAACTCAGTAATTATTGATAATGATTTGGTAGTTATAGATGGCATTTCTGAAGTTACTGAGGACACTGCAGCTACTGATTAATCTGTAGTTATTGATCATAACACTTGATATTAATGTGGCACCTGTAGTTACTGGAGAATTTCATAATTATTGATGAAATATCTGTGATTTCCAATAACAAATCTGTAATTATTGTGTCTGTATTTACAGATAATGACTGTGTGGTTTAATTACAGTTAGCTAGATATTGATATGATATCTGCAGTTATTATTAATGTTTCTGTAGTTATTGATAAATATTTTATAGTAAGTGATAATGGTTCAGTAGTTACTGATTGTATATCTATAGTTATTGAGAACTATTGATAATGTTTCTGTAGTTATTGATTGTGTGTCTGTAGTTATTGACCATTATTCTTAATGGTTCTGTAGTTATTGATTGTTTTTCTGTAGTTATTGATAATGGTTCTATAGTTATTGATTCTCTTTCTGTAGTTATTGATAGTTGTTCTGTATTTATTGATTGTCCGTCTGTAGTTATTGATAATGGTTCTATAGTTAATGATTCTCTTTCTGTAGTTATTGATAATTGTTCTTTAGTTATTGATTGTATCAGTGACACCTGTAGGTGTTGGAGGTGCGGTTTGCTCTGTTGGTGTCCATGCTGTCATATCGCTGGCTGGAGTTGAATCAAAAACAAACAGACAATTTAATTAATCAGAATGATGAGATTTCGTTAATTAGCATCACAATTCAATGCCTGTACCAAAACAGTGACAATTCATTTTAACAAGTTAATCTTCCCACTTATCTTTATTTCTTAGAATTAAACAGGCTGCTTTTGTTACTGTGCCTTTAAAACTGACATATGCAAATGACCTCTGCTCTGATTGGCTACCCTGTATTGTGTATCATTTAAATAGAAGTCTGAGCTGAAGCACTCCAGTGTGCTTAGCTAAACTGCTGTAGGCTGAAAAAGTGAATATATTAGGAAAATGTGTGGGTTTTCATGACCTTACAAGAACAAAGAATTCGAGTTTTAAAAATTTCAGAAATTCAGAAAGAAATTCAATTTTCCATCATATGGGCCCATTAATGCACACTAATGTGCCACTGTATGGGAATGAATTGCCATGCATATTCATTGTATGACTGACACTATTCATTTTAGTTATGCACTTCAATACAGGCTGACTCATGAATGTAGAAACATTAAGCTGTTCTTTTTGTTTTATTTGAAAAATTGCATTCCAGTTGCACATTGGGTTACATCTTGAACCCAGCGGTCATTGGGCGGAAGCCAGGATACACCCTGGACAGGTCGCCAGTCCATCACAGGGCTTTGCATAAATAATTATATTTAAATGTAAAGAATTATATTTACAGTTAGTTGACATCTGTTAGAATAATCATCAGAAAACCTGCATACTTCTTCTGAGTAGGCTTTCACACAGTATTAAAAAGAGCAAAGAAACACATTTTCTTTTGAAGTTCAGGGATGAAATAACTGGAGATCAGTGTCGTCTCCGACACAGAAAACCTGGTGGGGCACAATGAACCGTAGGGGCAGCAGCGACTCGTCAATGAAACTACACATAAACCTGATCCAAACCCACAATTCACAAATTAATGTAACGTGGTGCAGGATAATATGAGTGATATGATAATGATATTAGATCTCACAAAACCTGGTTATACAGCATCGCATTACAAATCCAACATTATCAAGCAGTAACGATCACTGTGGTCTGCAACTACACATCCAAACAACATTTCAGAGCAGGGAAACACGCTTTCAGGGCTTTAGGAATAACATGCCCTGTAATAATGACTCACCAGTGATGTTGCTCTGACTGCTCAGAAAGAAAAGATGCAGGACGATCTTTCATCTGAGCAAACTTGTTTAAAACTTTTCTCTCAAAGTTCACCATTCCATGAATGAATTCAAGTGATATCATAGCAAGAGCTGGTGAGGAAAGCAGAAGTGTTTTTAGCTACATTCACAGTTAGCCATGTTTTTCTCTTGAACTTCTCTGGATTGAAGGTGCAGTTTTTGTCCTTTCCAGATTGAATGATGTTGAAATCCGCTGGCTGGTGTGTCCCAAATGTTTAATCTCTAATATTTATTCTAATGTCAGGGTACCAAATTTAAATTTATTACATTTTCGACTTCACTCATTATATCACCTTTCTATTATGAGTGGCTACCACAACTGCTGGAGAAAAACAGGCTTGCGGATAAGTAAACAACAAGACTGTATCAGCTGAAACACATAATGGGAAATTACTCTCTGTTAAAGCCTGTTCTGCGAATTCCTGATTGTAGTGTAAACTTGAAGGTGCCCTAACGGGTTTTTCAAAGCTGTGGTGACAGGTTGGAATGCACAAACTAGCCAGACCCAGTCACAGCGGGCCATATTCAGTGTCGAGGTAAGTCTGCTTGGCAAGGAGATAACAGAAACTTTAAACAGCAGCAGCTGTGTTGGCATTTACAGCAAGCGGAAATAAGTGACTGTTATTTCTGCTCCCCAATCACAATCACTGAGCAACAGCTTCAACACAATGACAGAACAATGGCAGAGAAACAGACTAAAGTCATCAGGGTTTCTGAAGAATTTACGCTGAACTGCTTTAAGGAATGGTGTCGTATTTCATGTCAGAGATTCATGAGTCTCTCTCTGTTCTCTCAGCTAACGATACTACGCTAGTCTTTTTTCACCTCATATCGGCCAGCTTGAAAACAGAGTTTGTGAAGAGGCAGTAAACTGACACCAAATCTACCAAGTTTTATTTAACTAAATGTATATCAGTAGAGTGGAAAATTATCCATTTAGATAAACCTGCTGAATCTTGATAAGGCTTAATAACAGGATTACCAAGGCAGTATAAAGTCCCCCTCTGCTGCCCACTACACTCTCTCTAACTGAGGGATGAATCATAGTTTCTCTTGCCATCATCACTTCATCACCAACACTGCCCATATGTTTTTAGAACAACAAGAACAGAGGAACCCAAGGACGTCACCTGTGTGGAGGAACTCAGCTGTTTTGGAAAAAAGACTCTTTTCAGGGCTGGTACAGCTGAGAAGCCCTCAGGTTTTATCTATTAATCACACGTATGAGTTTGTGTGAATCTATCTGAAGATAATAGCAGCGCAACTTCCTCAGACATGCTTAAGAACATTTAACCCTACTTAAGACCAAATTACTGGGTGTCAAATTAGATCATTTATTATCTTGGTCTGATCAAATCGATCACATTTGGCTCTGCAGTCTCTAGGAAGTGTTCTTCACTATAGCTCGGTCACTTATTTTGTCACATCTGGGATACTGCCCAGTGGTTTGGTCAAAGGCTACTGGGAAACATCTAAAGTAACATCATAGAACAGAACAGAGCAGTCAGATTAGCTCTTCATTGTTCTTTGCTTGAAATGCATAAATGATTTTAATGGCTAACTGTGGAGGCTTTGTTCATGGGCATAACACACGTCAAGTGAGTACTGGTCAGTTGTTGGTGCCAAGTCCATGATCAAGTTGTATGAAGAGAACTGTTCTCTATAAGACGGGTTGGAATATGATCCCTATTAACATCAAACTGATCATAAGTAGATTTTCTTTCAAAAAGCCATTTAAACATAATTTGATGAACCTTAAATAGATGTTATTGTAATATTGCTGTTTTTAATTGTTTTTTGGGACATTCTTGTTTAGGTTTACCATTTACCGTTTCATTTGTTGTTTGGTTGTTCTGTTTTTGTTTTTGTTTATAGTAGAGGATTTTGCAATTACTCTTGAATGGACCCCAGAAAGCCTAGCCATCCTTTGAAGTCGCGCTCCCAATCTCGTCTTCCTCACTGCGCACTAAACAGGAGGAGGAATTCCACCCATCATTCAAAATTTCTGCATGATTAATTAATGATTGTTTTTGATTACATCACCGTGCACCAGTGGGCAGGAGGGAAAAATAATGTTAACCAATTAAGGGTGGGCATTATAGTGATATTTATCTTTGTCATGATAAATTACGCCACAATTTACCTCCACATAGTTAAGTGGTTGAGATGTAAACAGAGTCATTCAGAGTGGTTTGGTGTGAAACGCTCTGTTCTAGAGAAACTTACAGAGTCAGAATAGTTCACAGTGGTGGTGATAGGAACCAGACGTCCACCTCTAAAAGCTCCCTCACAGAAAGTTACTATATGAAATGGTTATGAATTCACTGCCTGATGACTGAGACGCTGTTTTATGATAGTTTTTTGAAGATTTGGGGCTAAAATGTTTTTTTTTTATCCATTCATGGTGGAATGATACATGCAGGGTGCTGTGAGGCAAAATAGTCACAAAAGAAGACTTATTATTTTAGATTTTCCACTATTTTCCATCATCAACATTCCATATAAACTCAGAAGACTCGTGTAGGTTCACTGGTGGTTCTGGTTAGTAAATAAAATGTCTATATTTGTGTTGTAGTCATGGCGACCCCTGGTTCCTATCACCACCACTGTAAAGACATCTGAACCATTTCACACCAAACCACTCTGAATCACTCTGTTTACATCTCACACACAGATATTATGCAGGAATTTTAAAAATCTGTGCAGAAATGTTTAGCCGTGTGTAGGTGACGTTTCTCTTAGGCTGAAATCCAAAAGCCTTGAAATATAACTGAAAAAGGCAAGTGGTGGGTTTAACGTCATGCAATACAAGTGTTATAAGCACTACACTTACAGAGACTGACCACCTAACCGACTCCCAACAACCTAACCTGTCCGAGCAGCACTGCTTCCCAAGCACCAGTCAGAGTAAACTAAAGTATTAAACAATGCAAAAACACCTGGAACTCTGAAAAAACCAAAACCATTCACAAAATGAGTTCAGATGTATCTGCCAATTCTTCAGGACATCTACAACTGCAGGGTGATGAAGTGCACCAGCAAAATAACAGCTTATCCCTCTCATTCAGTGCCATCAAAACCAGCACAGCCAGACATGCTACACTGTTAGAAATAAAGGTTCTGTTCAGGTACATTTTTCATTCATCAGGGTTCAACAGTGGTTTTAAGGTCTGATTGTGAACCTTAAATAAGTTTTTCCAGGTGAAAAGTTCGTATTTGTACCTTTTCATAACCGAATGTTTTAAACAGAACAGTAAAATAAAAGCCTGGAGATGAGACGGGGTGTGTGGAGTCAGTACAGCTTAGAACATATCATTTCAATGGATTATGGTTCAGTTATGTTCCCTGACTAAAGGTACTGAGATGGAGCCTTGAGGGGACCACCCCAGTGACAAGAGGGGGCACTGACCCAGTGACAGTTTACTGCCTTTCTGAGAGTGTAACAGCTTTTCCCCCAGAGCTGTATATAGAACCATTTCATACTTAAATGGTTCTTTGCATGGTGAAATGGTTCAGATTGATGGAGAGTGAATTGAATATGGTTCTATACAGAACCTTTTTAAAAAGGATTCAATATATGACCAAAAAGAGTTTTTGAACTGTTACGAGCTTAACATGGTAACAATAACAGAACTCTTTTTGGTTCTATATAAAACCATATACAACACATTCACCATACAACAATTTCACCATACAAAGAACCATTTAAGCATGAAGTGTTTCATGGTTCTAAACAGAACCACTCCCTTTACTCAAGAACCCTTGAAGAATCATCTTTTTTAAGCATGTATAGATAATTGTTGCAACAAACATTGAACTTGAACTTGACTGCACAGTAACTCAACCTGACCTCAATAAATGATCACTTGCCCTGTTAATATCACAATTTGGCCGCGAGGAAATGTCCTGGGGTTTTGTTTTAACTAAATACATATACAGTCATATGCAAACATTTCGGTGCCCCTGGTTAAATTCCATGTTTTGTTGTTTTTCTAAGTGTAAATAGGTGCACATTAAAATGCACAATAACTGTTTATTTGCTAAGTTTAACATGTTGGGGAAAAATAAAACACAAAATTTGGTCTGTACAAAAGTTATGGCACATTTTATATTGTATATTTTCTCAAAATGTTAAACTACATAAATAGAAATTATACTCTTGAATGTAAAGAATAACAACAAACAAAAGCAACAAGTGAATCACAAATACACTTGAACACTCAGTCAACCGGTCACACCTGAAGCTCTGAACAGCTTCTTCATGTTAAACAAGAAGCTCAGTTCCATCAGGTCATCTCTAAATAGGTCAACAATGAAGGCTCAATTGCTCCAGATAGCATTGCATAATACATTTTTTTCTTGTAGACTACACCCTTCAAAAGATGGTTCTTCAAGAGTTCTTTAAATGGTTCTATTTAGAACCATGAACACTTCAAGAAGAATTTGCATGCTTACCTGATTCTATATAGAACCTTTTTGTAAAGGGTTCTATATAGCACCAAAAAGGGTTCTTCTATTGTTACAAGCTTGACATTTTCAAAAAGGTTCTATATATTCCATATACAACACATTCTCCATCAATCTGAAGAACCATTTCACCATGCAGAGAACCATTTAAAAATGCAAATGGCTCTTTGAATGTTCATGGTTTTATGCAGAACCAAGGTGCGAAATACAAGGGGTCCTGGGGGATCTGGGACCCCTTAATTAACCTATTGGACCCTCTACAATGTCTCAAAATCAAAATTCTGGGGCTCCCTGAAAATTAACTTCTTATGACGTTTTGCTGTCTGTTAGAGAAAAACAGACACTCAAATCCAGATTCAGTGAAGCTGATTGTTTGTCTGCTTCACCCACAATCAGCTTCTGTCTTTGGTGTTCTTAACTAACTAACAAGAGTTTGGAGTGAAGAGTGACTGTTCCTCATTTCTCACACTGAAGACAGAAGAGGAGACGAGGAAGATCTCAGTTAATGTGAGGAAGAGCGCAGAACCACACTAGAACAGAGACTTTACAGAAGAAGAACAAAGATTTTGCTGTCATTAAAGCTGGCATCTGCGCAGCTATGGTGAGTAAGTTAGTAGGTTGCTAACGCTTGAGTAACCAGCTAACATGGGACCCCCCAAATACACGGGGTATTTTGCACACTGTATAGAACCATTGTCTATACTGAAGAACTCTTGAAGAACCTTCTTTTGAAGGTTTTGAAGAACAATCTTTTTTAAGAGTGTAGAATTTACAAATAGACAGAAATATGAGCAGGTTCCTGACATTCAAAGTAAGAAAAAAAGTGCTAGCATGCTAATTCTGTTGCACGCTAATAAAATGGTGATGCTGTGGTTGCAGTTTATCACCACCAAATTATTGCCAGATTGTTTCCTTGAGACTTCATGAACTCATCTGACACTCTGACACCTGAGATTTGTTTCTGTGTGGGTTGCTAGGTATGCTACTGCAAAACTAGCATTGCTCTGAGCCACGTATCCTACACTGTGGACACGAGGCCTTAAAATCACCAAAACAGCAAAATCACAGAAAATTCTAAGATCAGTTAACAGCAGTGCAGCTAATAGAGAGGATGAGCAATTTATAAGTTGTTATTTTGAGATATTTTAACAGAAATGACAACCTGCTAGTTACACCAGATTTAGGTAATGAAATAAGTCCAGAGTAGATTTAGGTGGTGAAATGAGTGCAAAGTAGATTTAGGTAATGAAATGAGTCCAGAGTAGATTTAGGTAATGAAATGAGTCCAGAGTAGATTTAGGTAATGAAATAAGTCCAGAGTAGATTTAGGTAATGAAACAAGTCCAGAGTAGATTTAGGTGGTGAAATAAGTCAAGAGTAGATTTAGGTAATGAAATAAGTCCAGAGTAGATTTAGGTAATGAAATAAGTCCAGAGTAGATTTAGGTAATGAAACAAGTCCAGAGTAGATTTAGGTGGTGAAATAAGTCCAGAGCAGATTTAGGTGGTGAAATAAGTCCAGAGTAGATTTAGGTAATGAAACAAGTCAAGAGTAGATTTAGGTGGTGAAACAAACAAGATGTTTTTGATTTAAGCCCTATTCAGACAGGATTAGTTTTCCATGTGTAGGTGGGTAACGCCAGTTTACCACAGGACGTCTGTAATGTCCCTGATAGCAAGAGGACAGGCGGCCAATGTTGGCCCGCTGATGGAAAAGCTGGTGGTCCACTGGCGTTTTACTCAGCATTTTCAGGGTGGCCCACCAGTGGTTAAGCAGAGTATTAGACAAAATTTCACTTATCATCACTCATTTTCCACTCACAGTCTAATTTACTTCCTTTCTTTAGTTATACTTTGTACATTTGTTTAATTAGTTTACATTTCAATTTATTTATTTTAATGTATTAGTTAATTTGTTCATTTTAATCTAGTACAGTGTCAGCAACAACATTTCTATAAAATAATTTTATTTTAGGCCTAGTCATTATTTTTCTTCTTAGTTTTTTGTCATATTTGTTTTAGTTTATTTTCTAAAATAAAAGTCTCTGTGCATTTAAAATCTATTTGAGGAGATTAAAATCTAGTTAGAGCTTGTATGCAGGACAGTAATCTGGGTGGTCCGAGGGAGGACCTGCAGTGGCAAACAGTCAGTGGGGTGCCGACATTATCAACCCAGCTGACCGATATATGCTCGCTATCTGGGTGTTTATGACCGATTTGCACAAGATAAGAAATATCAGTATAAAACAGGGATGGACGCGGCTGCTCAGTTTACATCCTGTCTTTACTACAGAAAAGAGCAGAAAACACCTCAAAACATTTAACTTAGCTGTTTTTATCTGTCTTGCTATCATTAGCATTAGCATTAGCTTGGGAATTCACAGCCAGGAGACAAACCTCAAAGCATAATCCAAACTTTGTTCTGTAATTCTTATGTATTAATATTCTAACTTGAATACTTGAAGTAGGACAGTACAGACTGGCTTTATTTTAGCCACAGAGAACACAAGTAATCGCTTCTTTGAGCCTCCACACTTAAGAAACTCCTTTTCCATTTTTACTGGCCTGTTGAATTGCTTTTATTGTTCAACTCATTTTGTAGAAGGTAAAAGGTGCCAGAGTCTTTACTGTCATTAGAGTCCGCAATCTGTAACAATGGCGCGGCACATTCAGATGAGACCAAGATCACTGAGATTTTATCTAATGTTACTTTACTCAGCCTCCCACTCTAAAACCAGTCCAGTCTCAGTAGTGCTTTAACCTGATTAAAGCCTTTTTTACAATTTTTGAAACTTTTATTGTGATTTTTCATGGCTAACATTTGCGTAATTAACCAATCAATCCAAACTAATCTGCTTCATCTTGTAGTCTCATGATGCCGACGCCAGATGTGCTCTCATAATGAGAATGTCTGAGAACAAACAAGATAAATCTTGGGCTAAATTTTGGTGGGAGAGTAGACTTAAGATCAAACAACCTGACTGCAATGTTGATGATAAAATCCTGATAAATCTGAAAGAATAAGCTCTCTGGGGACCACTTTGCCTTATTATGTGATGTCCTCCATGCACATCTCCGCCATTAATGAATTTTTAAAAATATCTTGCTTTAACCTGGTAAGAGCTGTTTTTGCATTTTTTAAAACTTTTATTGAGGCAAATAACTACCGTAAAACAGTGTCTCAGACATCAGGCGGTGAATTCATAACCATTTAATGTAGTAAATTTCTGTGAGGGAGCTTTTAGAGGTGGACGTCTGGTTCCTATCACCACCACTGTGAACAATTCTGACTCAGTAAGTTTCTCTAGAACAGAGCGTTTCACACCAAACCACTCTGAATGACTCAGTTTACATCTTAATGATTTCAATGAAAAATTTTTTGCGCCTCAATCCAGCATCTAATCTGCTTATCTAAATCATTCCTGTCAGGGCAAAACATTGCACGCTTTTGCTTTTTAACATTATTTGAAAACACCAGCTTGTGTCAAAATGTTTCAGTGAATAGACAAATAGAAATGGTCCAAATGTACTTGGGATAAATGTTTTTAAATTAACTTACATTAAGTAGGTTTTTTGCTTTTCCTGTAAAGTTACCATTTGTGTGACCATGTGACAAAATGAAGAAAGTGTCCTCTCCTGTTACATAATTTATTCAGTCTGTCTGCATTTGTTGATGCCATCATATAAGTGCGTGATTGGAAGCCCATGTTTAAACATTCAACACTACCAGCATGTGACGCTCATGATGACTGTCAGAATTTCCACATTAGACGTTTATACAAAAATAAGGAACTGTTTTTTGCTTTTACTGTATCTTAACAACTGGAAATCGCTCTCCTAATACTGTCATTAAGGGCAATAAGACAGAGAACGACTAAAGAAGGCATGAATAAAACAAGTAAAATAAAACCACTTACCATATTTACCAACACAAATGTGAACACTCAGATATTTTCAGATAATATTGTCAGATAAGTAGCACAGTTGTCTATTGGATATTTCCAACAGCTGTTTTTTGCATCATAATTTAACTATCATACTTAATCACATACTTAATTATAGTCTTTTCACCTTAATTTATTGTCCCAAACCGACATTAGCATCAATGCCATCTTAAACTCTATGGAATAAAGATGCAGTCTTACCTTCTGTAGTTGGATTTTGACCTTTAACTGTCACTAAACATCCCAGAAGCAGAAGAAAGAGAAGCATTTTATTCTAATTTGTCATCAGATCAGCAGATCTGACTCAGCTGAGGATCAACAGCGTAAAACTGGAGCTTTCAGGAGCTGAAGCTTCATCAGCAAGAGCGACTTGCTGATATGGAATTGAGTTCATGCGGAAATAATGAGGGCAGATTGACAGCTCTGCAGGCTGAAATGCTCCAGGCTCCGCCCACTTCTCATCAGAGGAAAAACTGGTTCTTATGGGATTGCCAGCCTTCAGCTTAAATATGTAAAATATGCTATTCCAGTATGTCACCTGTACGGTAAAGAAAAGAGGTGGATTTGTTTGTTTATTATCTCAGAATTCTTACTATAAAATTTTAAGTTTAAATCTTTCAATTTATCTTATTGTTTAAACCTTTAGTAGTATGTTAACAGAACACTAATCATATTGTGTATTACATCAAACCTATTGTAATTTCATTTATTGTGTTACATGAACCATTTTCTGTTGCGATGTATTGTATTGTGTGTTACATTAACCGTATTGTGTTGTAATTTCATTTATTGTGTATTACATTACACAGTTATGTTACATTCCTTGTATTGTAATGTAATGTACTGTGTATCGCTTTAATTGTATTGTGTTACGAAGTAATGTATTTTGTATTGCATTGCGTGCAATGTGTTTCAGTTTCATTTATTCTGTATTACACTGACCGTATCGTGTTGTAATATCATTTATTATGTGTTACATTAACTGCATTGTGTTCTAATGTAATGTATTGTGTATTACATTAGGTGTGTTGTGTTTCAATTTCATTTATTATGCGTTACATTAACCGTACTGTGTTGTAGTGTAATGTATTTTGTATTATATTCACTGCTTTACTCTGTAATGTAGTGTATTGTGTATTACATTAATCATATTGCGTTCTGATGTAATGTAGAAAAATGCAAAAAAAGACAATCATAGAAAAATGCATTAGATGATTTTTTCAGTAGGACGACACGTTAATAAGTCAGTAAGAGCCCATTATCAATGTATTATTTCAGTATTCATTATGCATTAGTTTTTAAGTACTTAGCAATTAGTAACTGAGTACTGTGTTAACTGTCCATTATTTCATACCTTAATTATTCATTAACTGTGAGCTAACTGCTGTTTATTCCACTGTTAAGTGTGTTTACTTATTTAAAGAAGTCAAATGAGGACCTGTGCATTAGGCCTGTGAATTATCTTAATTAAGTAATTAATTCGTTTACTGATTTATCATTACATTTCACCTCCACTCTGCAGCCTACGACACAAATATAGCCATTTTATTTATTATCCAAAACCACCAGTGAACCTACACGAGTCTTCTGAGATTATATAGAATGTAGTGGAAAATGCCCTGCATGTATCCCTCCATCATAAATGGATAAAAAATATACAGCTTAGGCTGAATTCTAATTCTAATCTAATCTCAAAACTCTCATAAAACAATGTCTCAAACATGAAACACTATTCATAACTATTTCATGTAGTAACTTCCTGTGCGGGAGCTTTTAGAGGTGGACGTCTGGTTCCTATCACCACCACTGTGAACAGTTCTGACTTAGTAAGTTTCTCTAGAACAGAGCGTTTCACACCAAACCACTCTGAACCACTCTGATTACAGCTTAACCATTTAACGCAGAAATTTTGAAAAAATGATGGAGTTCCCCTTTAACCAAATTCTGTTGGTTCTGTTGTTTTGTGATTTCTGATGAAGAAATAAAATTTCTTGTCCCATAACCAGTAGCTTGCGAGCAGCAGCAAAATGTTGATGAGATTATTATCTACCTGCGTTTACAAGAAATCTTCGACATTGATCTCTGTTCTGTGGCGTGTATTTCTTCATCAGGCAGCATCAGATTTCCTCTGATTAAACGGAATTCATACCAAACAGTTCATGAACTCTGCAAGGAAGTAAATGAACTGAAAGAAACGTACTGTTTACATTCAAGCATTGCACAAGCATTTCACTGTTGTCGGAAGAAAACCTCAAATCTCCATTTTTGAGTTTTTGACATAATTTGAAAATACTTGTTTTCCTTTACATTGTATGTAAATTTTTCATGACGAATGGACTAAAATAAACGGCCCAAAATGACTTGTAAAAAAGGTCTGGTTCCATTGACTTACATTAAAAGTAAAGCAGGTTTTTTCCTTCTCCTGTAAAGCTACCATTTTGGAGATGATAGGTTTTCTTCCGACAGCAGTGATTTATTTATTTATTTATTTATTTAGTTATGCCTCCAATGTTTGCACACTTGAAAATGGTTTTAAGTTGTGGTCAATGCAGTTCTGCATCATCTTTTTCATGGATTGCGGCTCTTATCAGAGCTAAATTAATGACAGTCAAAGTGAGAATTTGTTATAGCAAAGAATTTTAAATATTGAATTGAGTGTAATCTTTTATTTCTTTGCTTCTTTGTTTGTTTTAATGCAGTTCTATAACTATGGAAGACTTGCAGAGCTTTTTACTTTCCTTTTCTTTTATGCTGGTTCTTTCTGTGGAAAAAAAATTGAAAAATATGGTAAGTATGACAGTGATAACGATGCCCTCATGTTTTTACAAAAGAATTCTCAATCTTTAATTCCAGTAAATGTTTATCAAAGGCGCGGAAGTTCAGCGGCCGATTGTCATTCTGCTAGAGCTGAAGGACGAATTGTTTGTTATTGAAATTGCACTTTTAAAGGACTCATATCATGGAAAACAGACTTTTCCTCACTATTTTGAAATAAAATTTAAAATTTTGTTGAAGTTTCTAAACATACTGTTCACTACCAGGTTCATAAAGTCCATATATGGATACTAAACTGCAAAAACAGCCTCTTTTGAATTTTTGTTTTTGTGACATCACAAAAACCAAAACATTCACATGTATCTCAGCCTAAAGCAGTTTAGCCCCGCCCATTTATGCACGTTTCAGCTCAGACTACTTTTGGAATCAGGCACAATACAAGTCAGCCAATCAGAACAGAGCTCATTTACATATATCAGTCTTAAAGAGCCTATATTCTATTTTTTTTCTTGTCAACTAATTACATTTTGTGCTGTTTTATGTTCCAAAATCATCACAGTTCATTTTTAATTTTTACAAGAGCTATTTTTGCTCTGGTGTATTTTTATATATATATACATATATATATATATAAATATATATATATATATGAGCATGAGCATTTTCCATAATTATAACTTCGTATCTCATAAGTATGACTTAAAAAGTCATAATAATTACCTACCATCTCATAATGATAGAAAATTTTCTGAGAAAGTAAGTCATAATCATGAGATGCTAAGTCATAATTATGAAATACTAAGTCACGAGTTTTGTAATCACTTCTGCAGTAGTTGTATGGAGCATTAGTTTTACCCTGCTAATGCTTAAACCGGAAGTAATTGTGACTCTTTGTGAAAAGGGCCCATTGTGATATGCTAAGTCATAATTATGAGAAAGTCAGTTATGAGATACTAAGTTATAATTATGAGAAAGTAAGTCCATTTTGAGATACTAAGTCATAATTATGAGAAAGTAAGTCAATTCTGAAATACTAAGTTACAATTATGAAATGCTAAGTCATAATTATTAGAAGGTAAGTCATAATTATGAGATGCTAAGTGATAATTATGAGAAGGAAAGTCATAATTATGAGATGCTATGTTTTAATTACGAGATACTAAGTCAAAACTTTCTCATTATTATGACTTACTAAATCGCTATATATTTTCTCCAGTGGCGGAAACGGGCTTCCATAGAATTCCCCCCAACAAGTTCCCCAGCACCTTATAATTCAGTGTAAGATGTTTATCTGTGTGGAGACACAGGCATGTAGACTAAAATAGCGCTCCCCAGAAGCCTCGCTTGGGACTTTTATTCTGAAAAGACAGCAGAAGAACTTAGCAACTTAGCTTCACGTCTGACATGTGAACACGTATCCAGCGGCTATTTCGCGATAAAGGCAGTAAATTTCAGGTTGCGATGCTGAAAAAAAACTACAAATGAAACATGTGACGGTTTGTATTTTCCTGAGATTTTCCTGTGATTTATTCGGAGTTTAGATGTTGTGTTTGAACGGTTAGCTCATGTGTGTTTGTGCTGCAGTGCTAGTCAGGAGAAAAACACATCGAGTTTGCTTCAATTTTAGCTCAGCCTGTCGGGTAATATTAGTGTCTGTTACGCGTTTATAATGGTCAGAAAACATTGGGTTATTAAAAAGCATAACCGAGCACATATTAGAGCTCATTACCCAGAGTTATTAATCTCTTTATGCCAGTTTAGCTAAGGGCGCCACAGCTGACGAAGCTGGTCAGTTTCCTATTCGCCTCTTGTCCTAATTTTTCCGTTCCACCTTAAATGGCACAGCAGTTACGTACTGGCGCCTCATAATGTAGCGTAGCGTAACGTAACTGCTGCAGCGTTTAAGGTGGAACGGAAAAATTCGAATAGGAAGCCAACCTCATGCTATTGTACAGCTTACTATGAGCTGGATTTGGTAAGTCTTTTATTTATAGTCTGACTGTTGATATGGCTTATAACTTTAATATATTTACTTGTCTAACTTACATATCTATCTACTGATTTCAATCACTGTTTTCAATAAATTAAAGAAACATCCTGCAGAAAAATGTATAATTTTTAAAATTCTTAATTAGTAAGCTTTAAAATAGTCATTTTAAAGTCACTTAAATAAAATTAAAACCCAGAATGCCTCACATTTGAAAAGTCATGCATGTAATGTCTCAGGAAGTTACTGTAAATAAATAATTGCAGCATATTATATGTAATTTATTTATTATTTATTTATTTATTTATAAATTTACACATTTGTCTATCTATCTACAGATTTCAATCACCGTTTTCAATAAATTAACATCGTAGAGAGAAATGTATAATTTTTAATTTTTTTGATGAGTAGTAAGCTTTAAAAGTAGAACACCTTTTCCAGTGTGTCCAGAATGATGAACAGAGCTGAAGATGTTTGTAAAACAGTCATTTTAAAGTTAGTTAAATAAAATTAAAATCCAGAATGCCTCATATTTGAAAAGTCATGCATATAATGTCTCAAGAAGTTATTGTAAATAAATAATTGCAGCATATTATTTATAATTTAATGGTTTTTGCCCCC